TATTCAGCATAAAGAAACAATAATACAAATAAGTCCCAACAACTCTGCCCTACTCGAACCAACATTATGGCTCAAATGCTGCCCCCATGTCCGCAGTCATTGAGGGCCCCTGGGCAGATGACTCAGGACAGTTCCACTGCACAAGGGAAGATGGAGGTGGGGTCAATCTTCACAAACAGCAGAGGTGGTTTGTGCAGCACCACAAAGGGGGTGGCCCACGCGTTCATCTCTCCAGGGAAGGTTGGGCGGACGAAGCCTTTGTGGCCCAGCATCAGGTGATGGCAACCAAGCAGAGGATTTGGGCCCAACAATGTAGGGGGTGTCTCTGGTTTAGGTAAACCTCAGAAGTGCTATGACTAAGCATGTACTTGGCTTTGCCCTGCAAGCCCCTGAGCCCTGCAATGTCCTCTCATTCTTCAGGGCCCTGTGCAGATGCTGCTTTGAGCTGTTATATGAACCCACCAAGGGAAAATTCCTACATAACAAAAATCCTTGCAAATCAACCAACCTCGACAGCTCATTAAATGGAAGAAAACAAATCTCATCACAATCTGCCTGGGAAGTATTGATTTCTGCTCTAGAAAACATGAATGCAAGGGAACCTTGGAACTAGGTTCTTGGCGGAAGCAATGCAGATTTCTAACTGGGAGGGAAACACACTGTGCTCTCCTTCTCTGTCCATATGTCTGATCCCAAACCGCAGAAGGCAGTGGAAAGACTCCCAGGGTGAGATTCTGTGCTGCACCTCTACGAACCTCCTATGGGCTCCAATCCTAACCCTAGCAAAGGGCCCTTTACCAACCCCTCCCCTAGCCCAAGGCCACCTGTCTGCTCCAACCGTAATGCTAGCTTGGCTCCACCTACTGGCTCCAGGCCTAACACTAGCCCAAGGCCACTTACCAGCTGTAGTGCTAATTGTTGACCAGAGCCACCTTCAGGCTCTAACTCCAGCCTGCTGCAACCCTAAGTGACTGCAACCCGTATCTGGTACGTTTAATGGCTCCAACCCTAACCTAACCCCAGCACCCTGTACTAGCTCCAACCTCTAACGTAGCCATGGTGTTCCCTATGCGACTAAACTCTAACCCATCAACCTACAGGCCTTTAGTGTCACAGCTTAGGGTTCACCCTAACCTTACCCCGTTCCAGCCCCAGCCCTAACCTAGGGAAACCAACCAGCCTGAACCCTAACCCTTGCTAGGGCTGTCAACCCCCTCCAATCCTAACTCTCTGAGTACTAGTCACCCCATTTCACAAGAATATTGCAGAATTAGATGGGGTTCAGAGAAGGATAATGAGAATGATTAGGGGCCTGCAAAACTCACATATGAAGAACAATTGAAAAGACTGGGAATGTTTTCTTTAGAGATGAGATGAATTAGAGGGGACATTGTAGAAGTGTACAAAATAATGCACGCTACAGAGAAGGTAAATCAGGGTCTTCTATTATCCATGTCTCATAACTCAAGAGCAAGGGGATAGTCAATGAAACTGAAAGGCGGCAACTTCAAAACTGACAAAACAAAGAATGTTTTCATACAATGCTTAATTAGACTGTGAAACGCATTGCCACAGGATGTCCTTGAGGCCAAGAACTTGGTAAGTGGCAAAGAGGGATGGGCTATTTATATGGAGAACAAACATGTCTAGAGTTATAATGATAAATACTAAAAAAAGAAAAATGTAAAGAAAAGAGTTTTGGAAGGGATACAAAACCTCATACTTCAGGGTTTCAGCCAATCACTAAGTATCAGGGTTAGGATGATACTCCTCAGGGGGGCAGATCATCCTACGCCTGCCTACTGAGAATTTCTCTGCACCTTCTGCTGAAGCATCAGGTGTTGACCAGTGTCAGAGACAGGAAACTGGACTAGACGGATCATAGGTCTGGCCCAGGCTGGCTGTTCTGAAGCACACAAGGACAGGCCAACATTGAATCAGGCCCAAGAGTTCATCCCAGAATACCATCAGTCCCCACTCTTTTACAGCCTAGTTTCCCCCTCAGAGGTATTGTTGCTTTCACACACTTGCACCCCAGGTTGCGTCGACACTGGTAAATTATGGCCCATAATTCAGCACTATTGCACTCCACCAGTGCTGGCAATAGCAGAAACTGTAGGGTACACAGGGCTCTAGCATTTTCTCACTCTGTTGCCTAACCTTGCGCAGAGTAAGCTTTGAGGACAAAATGGTAAAAATGCCTGTCTCCTGTCTACACAAGCACTGCCATGGTTGATACCACTAGTAGAGCTGAACGGGTAACAGCACACTGATGGGAGACTTCTCTCCAAAACCCAGGCGAAGATGAGACCAGCCTGGTTAGACAACACCGAGGGAAATACGCTCGAGCATTGTGTACCTCCAGTGTCCTGCATGGCTACCGCCAGGTGGACCTGCAACGGCGGTGAACCACGGGGTCCCGAATTCTCCAGGGTCGCCACTAAGTGATCAGAGCCCTGACACGTGTATAGGAGGCGATGATCCAACTCCAGTGCAGACAAATTCTGGGGCTGAAGGTCAAGTAATTTATTTGGAGGAAGGTTCCAAGTTACTGCTTCGTAAAGCAGGGTGGCCGTGCCTTTAGTGTGCTACAGACTTTTTATGTGTCTTCAGCTCCAATGCAGAGCAATATGCTGTGGGACGAAGCTGCATGAACTGGAAGGAGGATGCAGAGGCAGCAGGTCTCAGTCAGGGAGAACTCACCTTTTGGGCACTTTTTAAGGAATTTCTGGATAGTGTAGCAGGGACTTTCCTGGTCTGACTTCAGGCCCGTCCCTGGCCTCAGTTTCCCCTCTCCTGGGGTTGACCGTAAAACAGGCTTTAGGAGGGGAAGTGAGGGAGAAGACTGTACCAGAAGACTGTAACATAAAGGACAAAAGGGAATTTTTGGCAGAATGTAGCAACTCAAGGTGGACACCTAGATTAACACCTCAACTTCCACAAGAAGTAACATACAAATGGTTAACAACCATGAGTGGTGGGGACTTTATGTTGTCTTTCTGATAAATTCATAACCAAAGTCCTTTCAATGCATTTTATGTATATTTCAGACCAGCAGAAGGAACAGCTGCACTGTTGTGTTTATTTTAATATAGCTCTGACTCTTCCTCCCACCATGGTGTTGGTTTGCTTGCTCCGTTTTCAGTATCCAGACAAAGGATCTAGAATATACTGGCAAATATTCTCCTTCCTGCATGATTTATGATGCCAATACTGTGTTGGTCTATCGTATTTTGGGGCATTCACTGTGATATGGTATTAGAAAGATTAAAAATGAAATAAAACATATGAGGAAGAAATAAATGCTCCAGTTACAGGATATTTGGGGAGGTTGCATTGATCCATGTGAGATTATCCACAAAGCAGCAAAATTATTAAACTTGGGGACCATGGGCCTGGAAAGCTCAAGGGATTGATAAAGGAATACAGAACATTTATGCCAGCAGTTTGAATTGCACTCCGCCTTAGGAGGTAATGATGGTCATTACTGTCCAATGACTTTTTGGCAGCCTTTGTGAAATGAGGTGCTGGTCTCAGACCTGTATCCAGTTGGCAGGTAGTTAGATCCCAAATAACAGCCATCATCTCTGACCTCTACTGTGGCCATTTGAGCAGAGACACCAAAGATCAGCAGGGCTTGGAGAGTGAATTACCCTATGACTCCTCAGAGACGGTGTGTATAGATGAAGGGGTAAGCACATTATTGGTATGAATATTGAATACACCCATGGATATTTAGAACTCTTCCAGCTCTGGTTTGAATAAGTAGATACATTTGGGGGCAGTTGGGATGGGGGACAGCATATTTAAGCAGAACTTCCAAACATTGGAAGTTCATCCACTGCTAAATTGGATCCTGCTGCTACACCGATCTGATGCGGTGAGTTGGCGTTGCACTTGTCTTTATGTAGATAGAGCCTCATTCTGAAAGAGGATTCCCTTCCAGCATCACCTCTAACATCACTAGAGAGTGCTTCAAAGACAATTCTGTTCCTATCTTCTGATTGTAAGTGGCCCCTCCAGTAAGGGGAACTGACCTGCTCTTCAAAACGCTGGCAGAACGCACCCTTGCTGAGACAGACGAGATCATTTAACAGATGCTTCATAGGCACAGCAACTAGGGTTGCCAATTTTGGTTGGATGCATTCCTGGAGGCTTCATCACATATTAATCTTTAATTAAAGATTATGTCCCTTAATTCCTAGCGGCTCCAGGAGGGTTGGCAACCCTAACAGTAACAGGTCTCATCTCTGCCATGGGAAAATAATATTGTTCCCTTGGGTAATAAAGGTAATCAGGGTGATTTCAGCAATTAAACCGTACAGACCTCCAGTGCACAAAACATTTGCTTGTTTCTTACCAACATACCCCAGGCCTAAGGTTGCGAGTCTTTCACGGAGGTCACAGATTCCTCCGTAACTTCCGCAGCTTCCCCCTGCCCGGAAGAGTGGTGGTGGGGCCTCAGGCCGCCCCCTGCTCAGAGTGGTGGTGGCGGGACCACGGGCCGCCCCCTGCCTGGAGCATTTTTGACACGTACTAGAAATTACAGGGGTTCTATAGAGCTAAGGATTCTCAGGACCTGTATGATCCTATAGAGGACTGTATATCTAGGGGGGTCTGGCCCCACTGGCAAACAGATGATGGTCCACCGATAACAGCACTGATGGCAGTTGCTTCCCAGCAGCTGACAAATCCTGGTGTAGCACCAGTAGTTCCTGGTGAAATGAACTCTACCGAGCGCCTGTGTGCACAAAGAATTCAGCTGCTTTAACGAACTCAGTTACCTGTAACCAAGTCAGTTATTTAGGTGCAAGTCTGCATGTGGACCAGCTTTTATACCCAGATCCGTTCCTCCCTTATACTTCTGTAGTTCAGCAGCGCTTGCATGGCACAGATTTTTCGCTACTAGCTCCTTTCCACAAGTCACTTGCTGCGCTCCGGGTTTGCCCGCCGGTTTATTTATGGCACCCTCTAGTGGGCAGAATGAGTGAATCTCTTACCTGGTAGTAGTAATCCACATACCGCGGCTCGTAGTGCCAACACCCAGGGTTTTCGACAGCCAGCACATCCTTCAGTAACTCTTCACAGCCTGACAACAGAAGCAAAAGTAAACATTCAGCTCCTTCTGTGTCTGTCCTACTACAGCATTCACACAGGCATGTGCAAGCCTCAGCCAGAGGGGAGACTGAGGGCCTGTCCATAGAGGGGATATTTGTTCCAGTGCAGCTGGCTCTGCATCCCGATTGGTCCCCCCGCTGCAGCCACCAGATCCCAGTCCTGGGGAGGGGGAGAGGCAGGGAGGCGCTGACGGATGGCTGGCACTAGGTCTTGGGCCTGCCCCAGCCGCCCTGCCACCTTGACAGGGAGTGATGCTGCCCCCCACCTCAAGAGTGAGGACCTCCAGCACCTCCCAGGCACCCCCTCCCAGTACACACACCCCTCCACCCCCCCTCCCCCAACTGTACCTCCCCTGAATTCCCCCTCCCCCCGGCAGTGTCTTCTTTTTGGGAAGTTGAAGGATGGTAACCCCAAAATAGATGTCCTGCACTGCTGTGCAATGGGGCTTGCCCAAGTGTGGATTGCTTCAGTCCCAAACCAAAATGTGGCTTGGTCCAGTCAATCTAGCTCCATTAAGCACGAAGGGAAAAAGAGATGGACCAAACCCCAAATCCCTATAGTCAAACTCTGGATACAGTTCAGTATTTCACAGGTCTGAATCTGACTTTATGCCTGTTTGACACTAGTATAACTCCACTGATGTCACCAGAGTCACTCCTGATTTATACTGAAGTAAGTTAAAGAAGGCGAAGTAGCCTAGTGATCAGATCAAGGGAGTCTGAATTCACCTGGTTCCATTACCAACTTTTTGCCTGGCTTTGGTCTGTGATTCTCCTGGCATGGCATCATACAATGTAGAAATGGATTTTTTGCTGGGGGTAACTGGATGTTACACAGAGCTTTCTGCAGGAAACTCCAACATCTTATTAAAATACGTCTCACAATAGGGAGCATATGGTCCTATGTGAGCAAACGCCTACTTCACATTCACAACTACTGCTGCATTTGCTCTGTTGTTAATAAGCATGTTAGTGGCTGGAAAATCAATGTCTGCGTTTCTTTTAGGCTCTCTCATCTGAGAGCCCAAGACAAATATAGAAAGCCTTTGGAGCTGCCAAATTCTCAGTCCCCATTAAATACCATTGATTGTTCTCTGTGTATTGAGTTGTAGAAAGAGGTAATAACAGCCCAGGTTATTTTAACCAGCTTGTTACAGACGTGCTGCCTAAAATGTGTTGACACATTTTATATGGTATTTTACTGGGAGGCTCCAATTATCCAACGGTATTTTTCTTTCTACCTCATCACTAATGTGGTACGTTTGGCTGTGACATAACACATTGCTATTCACCCACAAGGCAGGTGAGCCAGAAGGAGAATGTCACGAAAAGTGAATCACACGGAATTATGTTGCCAGCAGATTATTCACTCCTATTGTCAAAAGGAAAAAATAATAGCTTTAGGGGAGAATTACAGGAAGAAGACACCCTCTGCTGATGGAGATAGAATCCCTTAACAAAGGAAAGGCGCACTCAGAAAGAGCGGGAGAACACCACCAAATTGTAAGGGATCTAATACGTGGGATCAATATCTCCCCGCACACTGGCATATGATGAGAATGACACAGGGCAGATAAAGCAGCTGTCAAGTAAATTATGATCCAAAGAGCACCACATGGACAACCGGTAGCCTGATTTCTCCTCTGCCATAAGAGATGATCAGGAGAAAGGGAGGACAACTGGTATTTTTAAAATAAAAAGTGAAATTCTAGCTTGAATGCTGCACAGGAAAAGAAGAAATTCAAGATAACTAAAGAAGACGCAGCATAGCTCAATGAACTCTGGAAGCAAGGCCCCAATAAGGAATTGAACTTCAGGCATTGCCAAGAATCTCTGGAACTAAGTCACAGCTGCAATGAAGGAAAGTGCTTAACAGAACAAAAGGGTTTTGGCAATAATGAACATGATACTCAGCAAACCAGAGGGAACTAAAAAGGTGGCATAAAAATACGTATCGACAGCCGCGCTAATTGAAGTTCTAGTTCTAGGCGTGGCCAACCTCTGGGTGAATATATGGCTGTGCATAAGGAAGGGAAGGTATGTGGCCACAACGCTGCATACCAGCAGAGGAGGCCGGAAAACCAACACTTTCCCCTGTGTGAAATTTTGAACGAAAAATCATCTCTTGAAATTTTTCAACCAAAAATGTGGGTTTTCCCAGGGGAAATTCCGAATCGATTCAAAATGAAAATCGACATTGCCAGAGAACTGTGGGATATGCCTCCCGAAGTCCTAGCAACACACACAGGTGAGTGCAGCACCAGAGAGGACACAGTATCTCGAGGGTGGCTTTGCAGTGTGGTCACTCACACCCAGCTGAGGCTAACTCAGGTGCTGATCACCCGAGTTAACTCTGCAGTGAGGACATACCCTTAGACTTTGTTTACACTGGGGTCATAGCCATCTTTGTCGCTAAACAAATCCCTACTGTAGATGCAATGCACTGGGTAAACCATGAGTTGCAATGGTGCACCATGGAGCTTACATGCACCAGGTGTATGGTAGGGATTTGCACCTGTGGCTAACACCAGTGTTAGCTAATACATGCTAATTAACATGTTGTTAAACACCACTTTGCACCTAGTGTAGACAAATTCAGTGGTGTTGTATTAGCCAGTCATGGTCAACCCTAGATATTGACCAATGGGAGCAGAATCCCTAGGACTGGCCAGGACTAGCCAACATGTTTTTAAACAATCCTATCTTGGTCCACAACAGGTCCCTAGTGATGTTTAAAAACATGTTTATCGACACATTTGCGAAACACCCCTCATTTTCTCAGTACAAAGAAGGTCAAAGGTATTTCACAGAGTCACTTCCAGAGCAGAACCACCTGCAAAGTGCTTATCTTATGTGGACTGTAGGACCATCACTGACGTTATTAGCTCTACCTTATTCCTATCTTAACATGTATTTTCACTTCTCATTTTAGCCTTCTAAGTCACATTACACATATACAGACATAGCTAAAATACCACTTGTCTACAACTGGAGCCTGTCCTTTTGTTGTATTGCTTGGGAACATTTACAACTTATTAAAAATCTTCATTAACACAAAGGAATATGATCCTGCGTATTCATCCCTGAGATTGCCTTGCTCATGCGATTCCCATGGCACCAGTACTTCAAAAAACGGTTTCTTGTATGACGTATGTAAAGATAAACTTCATTTTCCCCATGAGGAAATTTCCCTCTGTAGATCGCTCTGTCTTGGATCATCACTCATCAATATCCCTTTGTTCCCAATGGCTGTGACCATAACATGTGCTGGTCTGTGCTTTGAGGAGGTTTCTCCATAGTCCTATTACAGAGGATAATTTAATTGTCTATTTGCACCTTTTGCCATTAATAACAAAAGCTTATTAGTCACGGAGCTTTCTACTGCCCATGTGTGTCATGGGAGTCATTAAAGCACAAACGAACTGCTTGCTCCGCCAAGCTCTCTGTGTGAGACACTGGGCACATATTCATTAGAGTGAGTTATCTGCAGAAACCCAGCACCATTCAGTAATGCATGCAGGCAGTGGTAATGGAGGAGATGTTTTACACAGGTGTAAAACTTCCCCTCAACAATATCGCCAGTCATAATTTCAACCCACGTTTCCCTCCTGCATTAGTAACAACCACAGCACTGGGCTGATAACGCAGCATTTCCAGCCAAAGGCCTATAAATGATCCAAAACATTAATTAAAACCTCACAACATGTCTATGAGGCAAGGTCAATATTTTTACCTCCCATTTCCCTGAGGGGGAAACTGAGGCATGAAGGCTGGTGATTTCAGTGGTGCCTCAGGGAATTAGGTGCCCAAATTAAGGGGAGTTTGGTATCTGACTCCCTTAGGTCCCTCTGAAATGAACCTGAGAGGTTAGTCTATGACAGCGCTGAGGACAGAACCCAGCTCCTCTGGGCCCCGATCCTGTGTTTTACCCACAAGAACATCTTTTCCCTCTTTGCATTTTGGCTTTCATCACACTTTTAGGTTTTTCCAGCAGTTGACTCTATACTGGGGACGCCATGGCATGGCCAAACCCATTTAAACTCAGGATGATGATGCCACACCAGGATAAAAATATGGAAAAATTAATTGCCCCACTCTGCACCTAACCTCCCTGGGGGCTGCCCTGGTCACTGTATTAATGGTAGGTGGAGGGGCCTTACCAGACTGGGACTCTTGAGTCCCACATGCCCAATCCAGAACCCAATGAACCCATGTGGCATTTGATACTGACTTCAATGGAAGCAGAATTAGGCATCACCTAGCATCATATATTTTAAAAAATGCAAAATGAGCCAAATCTTGGTCCCATGGGAGTCCATGGCAAAATGCCCACTGGCTTCAATGGGATCAGGATTTGGCCCCATGTAAAACACAGTCTCCTTCTGCAAAGGTGACACTTTGTCCGGCTGAACATCACTGGATAGTGGGAGTCTACATATCCAGCAGCCAGCATTGCCTGTGGTAACATAGTTCCATTGTCACGCAGGCTGGCACAGCGACATTAGTGTTGCTCATCAGGCTGGGAAGAAATTGCATGCTACACTGCACTGACACTAAAAAAAGGCAGAGGGTCAGGAAATGCTGCCGCTGAGAGGGGATTTCCCCTATGCGATTGTTTAAACACAACACTGCAGCCATCTGGGGCCTGATCCAAAGTCTAATCAATACACGGAAAGATTCCCATTAACGGGCTTTGGTTTGCTTCCTGGTAAGACACGTATTTCAGTAACAAAATCTCTGTTAGCGATTCACCACTCTGATCACCTCCCAGTGCAAACCAGATTTTCTTCCCAACATAGCATTCTCCCTATGCACGGTCACTTTGGAAGATCAGCTACTACTGGACCCTTTATCATCTCTGAATATAATTCCAAGCCGTGTGTTTAAAGAGCTGATCATTGCTTTCCCCTCTCTGGGCCCGTACCCATGAGGGGTATGTGTGCACTGCAGCAGGGAGCATGATTCCCAGACA